ACAGAATTATGTATTTTAGTGTAGTCTACTTGTGTGCCAAGTAATATTGAAATTGGACCAAAACTGTAGGAGGAGTAGCATTTTGAAAAAATTTCACAGAAATTTCTGTTTTTAGTAACCACGGCAACACCGTTCATCGAAATCAAAACCCGATGCACAGAATTATGTATCTTAGTGTAGTCTACTTTTGCGCCAAGTTATATTCAAATCAGACCAAAACTGTAGGAGGAGTAGCATTTTGAAAGAATTTCACAGAAATTTCTATTTTTAGTAACCACGGCAACACCGTTCAGAAATCAAAAACCGATGCACAAAATTATGTATCTTAGTGTAGTCTACTTGTGTGCCAAGTTATATTGAAATCGGACCAAAACTGTAGGAGGAGTAGCATTTTGAAAAATTGTTTACAGACAGACAGACAGACAGACGGACAGACAGACGGACGGACGACGGACGCATTACTATCGCATAAGCTCTTCTGGTCTCTGACCAGTAGAGCTAACAAAAATTGTGAATACACTGCTTTGACACTATAATATTTTCTGTTAATTTATATTTCTCATACAATTTATTGAATTCAGCACATTTCAGGAAGTTTTAAAAATTTGACTTTTGTGGGGGCAAATATATGCAATATACCGCATATAGTTCTTTTTTGCATACTGTAAATTTTGTTTTCTTGTTTGGATCTGGTACAATTTTCTCTGAGCCATTTGTCGGAGTTTCACCATCGAATCTGTTCTCCTTGATAAATCTTCTGGTCCTCTCTACGATGTTTTTATCTAACTTTCCGTGAGATTCCAACACTTCTAGTACTGTTGTCAAAGTGCAAACACTGAGCAAACAAAAAAAAGAACATGTATGTTATAGAAAAATCAAACAATATACATGTACAACTGCATATTTATCATTTTTTAAAAACTCTAATTTGATCATTTGGTTAATAATTAGCCAGGATATTTGACATTAGCAAGGATATCTAACATATGCTAGGATATTGATATAGCAAGGATATCTAAATTTAGCTAGGATATCTGATAATAGCAAGGATATGTAACATCAGCTAGGATATCTAACAATAGCAAGGATATCTAAATTTAGCTAGGATATCTGATAATAGCAAGGATATCTAACATTAGCTAGGATATCTGATAATAGCAAGGATATTTAACATTATGTGGAAACAAATCTTCAAAATTTGAATGAAGATACCAATGTCATTATAGTGGTGATCAAAAATTCAAATTTCAAAAAGCCACTTTTTTTCATAAACTTGGAAAATGTCCTCAAAAACTCTAGTTAGGATTGTCCCTCTCATTCTACATGTAAAAGCTTCCGACTTTGTTGTAGCTATGATATAGAAAAATCAAACAATATACATGTACAACTGCATATTTATCATTTTTTAAAAATCTAATTTGATCATTTGGTTAATAATTAGCCAGGATATTTGACATTAGCAAGGATATCTAATATTTAGCAAGGATATCTGATAAAAACAAGACATCTAATATTAGCTGGGATATCTGATTATAGCAAGGATATCTAATATTAGCTAGGATATCTGATTATAGCAAGGATATCTAATATTAGCTAGGATATCTGATAATAGCAAGGATATCTAACATTAGCTAGGATATCTGATAATAGCAAGGATATCTAACATTATGTGGAAACAAATATTCAAAATTTGAATGAGGATACCAATGTCATTATAGTGGTGATCAAAAATTCAAATTTCAAAAAGCCACTTTTTTTCATAAACTTGGAAAAATGTCCTCCAAAACTCTAGTTAGGATTGTCCCTCTCATTCTACATGTAAAAGCTTCCGACTTTGTTGTAGCAATGATACATCTCTTTCTAAAATGTTTACCCTTGAAGGGCTTCATTGATATTTAGTACATGTACCTATAAAGTTTTATGCCTATTCACAAATATTCAGTACCTATGGATTGTTATGCCTATTCATTGATATTTAGTACCTATGAAGTGTTATGACTATTCATTGATATTTAGTACCTATGAAGCGTTATGCCTATTCATTGATATTTAGTACCTATGAAGTGTTATGCCTATTCATTGATATTTAGTACCTATGAAGTGTTATGCCTTTTTTCTTCAGAGCTCTTTGTCCACCTTGTTCCCTGTCCAGTAGAACTACAGCATCAGTAACTCTTACTGATATTGACTGAAGGGTCTGAAAAAGTCAAAATACACCAGAAATGTTACTTTACATCTGAAAATATTAATTCTTACCCAGTAACTAATTACCTGTATTCTTAGTATCTAAACTTAAAATCAATGCTTACCCAGTAGTTCAAAATTCTTAGAATCTGATAAATGTAAGTTCTTATCCAATAATTTAATTTTGTTTTTATTCTCGCCTCTCAATGGTTGATTTCCAAAAAGGAACGCAGATTATTTTGTATAATCTGGCTTGGTATGGGGACACACCCCCTTGATGACCAGCTTAATCATCCTATCCATGCAATCCCCTCATTTCCAGTCCGCGGAATCCATAGAAAATTCCAGATTTAATAAATGTACCTTTAACTTCAAACAGTTACTCGATCTTACCTCATGCAAACAGACATCATGGCTGCCAGATCTATGTATCAGTTATTACCTCCCCTCGCTTCCTATCACTTCTGTTACTAAGGTTGTATTATTGCGTGGTAAATTTGAACTCATAAAAAGCAGCACAATTTTATATCCAAAGGTGTTTTATTTATTTTAAAATTTTAAAATTATAAGGAATGACTTTAATTCTTGGCCAAATTATCGAGTATAATCTGGTTTGGGTCAGTTTACGCTTTTTTATAATCGGCTTCGTGGATTATAAAGCGTAAACTGACCCAAACCAGATTATGCTCGATAATTTGGCCAAGAATTAGAGTCATTCCTTAAATAACTCAATAATCATAGATTCAACTTGTAAATGATAATATAGTGGTAAAGCGCTTCTTGCCTGGACAGTTTCGGTAAAGCGGCCTCACCTGAACGGTTTTGGTATAGCATGTCTCACTTGAACATTTTTGGCATAGCGTGTCTCACTTGAACGGTTTTGGTATAGCTTGTCTCACCTGAACATTTTTGGTATAGCGTGTCTCACTTGAACGGTTTTGGTATAGCTTGTCTCACCTGAACATTTTTGGCATAGCGTGTCTCACTTGAACGGTTTTGGTATAGCTTGTCTCACCTGAACATTTTTGGTATAGCGAGTCTCACTTGAAGGGTTTTGGTATAGCGTGTCTCACTTGAATGGTTTTGGTATAGTGCGCCTCACCTGAACGGTTTTGGTAAAGCAGCTCACCTGAACTGTTTCGGTAAAGCGGCCTCACCTGAACAGTTTTGGTATAGAGCGTCTCATCTGAACAATTTCGGTATAGCGCACCTCACCTGAACGGTTTTAGTATAGCTTGTCTCACCTGAACGGTTTCCATGACAGAGCCACCACTAGTTACCACGTCCTCCACGATCAGACAGCTCTCTCCCTCCCTGTAGTGACCCTCCACCATCTTCTTTGTACCATAATCTTTTGCCTCTTTTCTGCGAATTAACATCGGCACCTTGTGGTGAACAGAGAAGCACTGAAATGTAGTTTTTAATATAATTAAAAAGAGGAGCAACATAAAAAATAGTTTTCTAACTCTTAACTTGCAATATACTATGGAATCGCTTAAATTCATTGGGTCAATGTACATGCACAAGCAGAATTTTATTTGTTCCTTATCATGGGTAGGTAAAAATGACATTAACTTTTCCCATAGTATATTTTTTAAATCTCTTTCTATCAAGTTTGTAACTCCATACTGTTGCTACTGGAAGTGCTGTGTACGGAACGCCGCAGACAGAGTCAAAACGACAGTCAGCTGATTTAGCCACCTCCCACGTCAATTCCGATACTTCATTCTAAAGGGAGAGAAGAATCAAGTTTATAAATAATGTAATAGGAATCCAATAAAGTTCCAGTCATTGTAATAAAAAGGTACCAGGCACTCTGTTCCATAAACAGGTACATTCCATATTTTGTTTTACAAAAGTACTTTTCATTTTTATATATTCCTAATTAATAAGTGGACTTAGAATTCACTAAATAATTGTAATAAAGAATGTAAAACAATTCAATACATGTAATTACTGTAAATCACGTTTTATTCGTGAGAACTTAATTTTCGCGTAATTACGCGAGATAAAGAGCTCGCGAAAATTTCATTCTCAAGTTTAAAAGTATTCCTTATGATTATATAGAGGAAAAACAACAAATACGTGAAAATTATGTCTGGCTAATAAAGAGTCAATGACTATCTTGTGAAAATAAGGTGTTGCGCAAAAATTTAGTGATCTACAGTATATGTTTCAGGGGAATATATATAAATTGTACAAGTGTAAATGTACATTTTTATAAAATGCTGTGAAAAGGGGAATAACTCTTTCAAAGTATGCATAGTAAGAATGTATTGTGAATTTATGAGTACTTTGTATGTGTAAAGAATTTTCATTTTGATTTATATATAAAATTGTACTCATATTACTTACATGTATACTAAATGTATATTTACAGCATTATCTATTCTCCAGATACCTAAAAATAATAAATCACCAAAAAACGAACCTGCAGGTATCATATGGTCTTATTTTTCATCCATACATGACCTCTTTTACAATTGAAATTTTAAGAAATCTATCTTTTAACACAGGTACTTGCCAAAGGGTCTTGGTTTATAAATATGAATGTTTATATTTATTTATACATATTTATAAACCAAGACCCAACTACCTGTGTCTTTTTAATGTAAATGTCCAAGTTAATTCACTTACACAGCTGTGTGTGAACTCATTGCTATCAATCATGCAAAATCTTAGCCTGTAAATTTATGTAATGTAGCAAATTTATTATAGAATGTCAGTTGTCTTTTTGAGAGACTTACCAAAAGAGAGGGATATGACACAATGACACGCAAATCAAAATATACTGGAGAATCAATGCCACTTTTCAACTTAAAATTTCCAAACTTCACAGCCTGTACTTTATAGAGTTCTAATATTAATGATTCTTTTCTACTATTTAACGATTTCTCATTTGCCGCCATGCTGTTCGTTGTAAATAAGTTCGGGTTCGGTATGAAAGGAAATGGTGTAAAACTAGGAATTGTAACAGAAATGAAAAATTGAGTTTGTCATGAAAAATACTCATTATTTAATGATATGAGCTAAAATGTATTTTGTTGCAGTGAATTTAAGTTTGTAATATTTTGCATTCTCTGAAATTACTGAGTAAAGCAACAGTGAAGCAAAAATCTTTCTTGCATTCGCTACAGTAAATATACTAATGATAACCAGCTCCTACTTTCATTTTCCTTCTGGGGTGATGATGATGTTAGTTGTAGTCAAATTTATTCCCTTAACCATTCTATTGACAACTGTTTTCAGTGCAATTGGTAAAGTACAATTCATAAATTGATTATCTGTCTCCTATAGCTTTCATTATTTCTTTCCTGTTACGCATAAATATAACGTAAAATTGTGAAATTTGGTCACAATTATATTGTGTAATTCCTTGGCACTGTGCATACATAAATTGACATCCTCATTGAATTAATAAATGGGGTTTAAGAAACAATCTTTACTTTGTAGAAACTCCAGTCAATGCCACCATCAACTCACCAAAAAATTTAAAGCACTCTGACATTGAAATTATTTCTTTTAATTTCTGTTTTCATATTTTTTCTTTCAGATGTCAAACCAAATCAACCAGTTTTGGTCAACATTAAAGGACAGAGCAACAACTCTATAACTCTGAGGAATGTGACGGCAGACATAAGTTATGTAACGTGTCAGGTCCATTCCCAAACCAAAAACCTCACGCTTTCTTCCACTCCCGTACCGAGGGTGGGGAAGTCATTGACAGGGGGAGACATTGGAATTGTCACTGTCCTGGAGCCCGATCAGACAGAAGTCACCTGGTACCTCCAGTCTAACCACAGCCAAGATGTGCAAGTTCTGCTGGCAGTTTTCCTGATGTCAAAAAATGGTAAAATTTAAAGATTATTAATGGATAAATTTAGTATCTGAAATTACATTTATGGTTTGATATTCTGTAAGCTGTTTACCATAAAATACATTGTAAGTCATTTCTTATTACATGTTTTTGTTGCTGTTGAAATATTGCTTATAACGATGGTTACAGCAAAGTGATTTGCTGTCCCCATAGCTTTGATGTCATATATATTGTAAAATTAACTTCTTTGTTGATGTACTTGACTTTAAATAAATATTATCTTATCTAACGGGTATAACAAACTACACTTATAATAAAGCAAAAATGTCTACCTCTGGCAATTTGTTATAAGCATCTACATGTTTAATTTTATTTCTTGGTACTGTACTAAGTGTAATCTGAATTTTCCCTTATTTTAAAGATACTGTATACAGGGAAATTTTCACCACCTGTTTTATTTTTGTAATCGTTCCTTTCGCCCTTTCCTCATTTGAGCGAATTTAAAACAGGGCAATTTCAAAGAATACAGTATAATTTCTTAAACAAAACTATGACTGGGAATTTAAAACATGGCTAAATTGTTTGCAAGTATGAAAGGCGAAAATAACCCTGTATAGAGTACTTAGCTGATCGATGCACTCTGGAGCTTTCACATTTTTTCAGACACCTTAGTTGTAATCTGATGTTTTCTCTATTTTACAATGCGCATTATAGCTGTAATCTGGATTCCTTCCTATTTTACAAAGCTCTAAGTCAGTATCTATAATCTCTTCCACAGAGCCTTAATTAATGGATTTAATCTGGAATTCTCTATTTTACAGATTCTTTAGTTGATGGGTGTAATCTGCAGGGGCTGACAAATAGATTTTTTATGCACTTGTCCAAGGGCAAGTGCATGGTCAAAGTTCACTTGCCCTACCAGAATTTTGCTTGCCCCGCCATTATGATACACAACTAATACTGTTTATATTTATACATATTTCAAAAAATAGGAAGACAAATACTGAGTAGATCATGCAAGCTCCTGTGCTTAGTTTTAATTCTATGACTTACATGTGGATTTGATTGTTTTTTAAGTCACTTGCCCACAGGCAAGCGGTTGATAAAATTTCACTTGTCCACCCCTAAAATTCACTACCCCTGGGCATCGGGCAATGGGAATTGTCAGCTTCTGAATCTGGAATTCTCTATTTTACACAGTCTCTAGTTGTTGGGTGTATCTGGAATCCCCTTTTTATAAAAAAAAGTCTATTTGTTTGGATGTACAGTGTATAATCTAGATTTCTTTATATTATAGAGCCGTCTGTTGTTGGATGTAATTTTAATTTCTCCATCTTACAGAACCCCTAGCTGGTGGATGTAATCTAGAGTTTTCTCTGGAGGATGATGCCAATCTACGGGTCTCTTACACTACCACCAAGAATCTTGTAGAATTCCAATTGTCCAACATCCCACTGAGGAATAGATCCGCCCACCCTTCTTGTGAAGAAAAGTCTTCACAGAATATGTTAGAATACAGCATCTATGTGAAATACCTGTCCGAGAATGATTTCACCTCGGGGGAATACTTCTCAACAATGAAACAAATGATGACAGCTGAGGATGTGATGACTAATGGTCTCCTGGTAAACAAGTATTCTATTCTAAAATAATAATCAGATCTGTGTGATGGTATTGATCTAAAGAAACTGCTCAACATTTCTAATTTCAGCTTTCTAAAACAACAAGTAAAGACACTGTTCAAAAACCAGAATTCATGGCGGCATCATACACAGGAACAGGGGCGGTGTATAACATGGTTGTCAAGGCAACGACCCCATCAGGTGTAACCATGGCAGCATACTTTCCTCAGGTCACATACAGCTGTAATATACAACAAAGGGAGGGCTGTAAAATGTATGGTCAGTAAATGTTACAGCAGAAAGTCAAAATTTGTGCACAAGTGTTGTAAATTGTAATTAGACATTCAATAAGTACTGTATACAGGGAAATTTTCGCACCCATTTTATTTTTGCCCCTTTCGCCCTACCCTCATTTGGGCGAATTTAAAACGAGGCGAATTCAAAGAATACTGTATAATTTCTGAAACAAAACTATGACTGGGCGAATTTAAAACGGGGCAAAATTGTTTGCAAGAGTAAAAGGGCGAAAATAAGACGGGGTGAAAATAACTCTGTACACATTATTCAGCAGTAGTTCATAAGCTGTCAATAATTGATAAATCTCCAGGGCTTCAATTTACAAAGAAAAATTAGACTAAGATCAAAATATCATTTTATGAATACCCCAGTAATTATAAAATATAGTTTTACATCTTAGTCTCAAGTACTTTTATAACTGGTCCCATTTTCTATTATTAGTTTTCTCACTGTTCCTTTACAGGTGTATTCTGGCTGACTGCTGCAGTTGTCCTGGGGATAGTGGGACTGTTCCTGACTTTTCTGGGACATAGATTTTTCAGAACTGGTAAATACTGTACAAAGGTAGACTTTTGTAGAGGTGGGAATCTATAAAGTTGTCCTTTAGGAGGTGCAAAATGGATATAAAGTTTTGACCCATGGGAATTCACAATACATGTCTCTATACCACAAAAACAACAAAAATTAAACCACTATTAAATAGGTGATTTATAGATTTATAGTCAATGTTTATATCACTCTATAAGGTATGATAGCTGGGTTAAAAGTAAAGTATATAACTTAAGTTTTCCTTATTGAAACTATCTTGTTATTGTTAACCCTTTGTGTGCTGACTTGTTTTACGTGCGCTGTAACCTCAGGACTGAGTTGTTTTGTAATATCAACGAAATTATCACAATGGTGTACTAAAATGCAAATATCTAAAATTGTTGACAACCAATTTGCTTGAAATTTAGCAAATATATAGCAATTGTTGCGTTTTTTTAATCTATACTTTTTTTAAAAAATCTAATATTTTATGTTGCCATGGCAACCAAATTTTCAAAAAAATATATTTTAAAATGACTTTTTAGCATTTTAACTATATTTTTCAGAGAAAATATTGCACTTTGATGAAAAAAAATAAATCAATCTCTTTAAGGCCATGCAAAGTTAATTACTTGGTTCTCAGGCCTTTTTTCAAGAAATATGATGAGGGAGGGAGGCATTTTTTTTTCTTTTTTATTGCCCCCAAAACATGATGAGGCAGCATTTTACATTGTACAAAACCTCAAAAAATGATGAGGGAGGTGATTTGGTGTTTATATTTTATTGATTTAGCAATAAAAAGGGTCAATGAGGCACCCTTGGAAGAGATGAGGGAGGGCCTGAGAACCAAGAAATTATTTTTTTTTTGCCTAAATATTCAATTTTAGTTTAATATTATGCAAAAAAAAATTAATTTAAACAATAACTCGATGATAAAGTCAATGTTATATATACCGTTATGTTGTAAAAAGTCATTGTATACTTATCTGAGTAAGGGATATATTCATGTAGGTTTAAGTGAATTTTGATTCAAGTTAATGGATTTTTTTTTCAGATTTTAACTAAAAATAGTATAAATTGAAGATTCAATTAGCCTGTAAATATAAAACCAGTGATTATTTTAAGAAATATTGGCAATCATATAAGAAAGTATGATCCTCAACGAATATGCAGTTTTCGAGGTTGGGAAATCTTGGAGCAAATTGGCACAACAATGAACTAATTGCTGTTACTAGTATTCATTTTCAAATTAAAGAAGTCAATATGTTAAATAAATTTTATAAAAATAAATTAACATTTACACTAAGTTACAGAGGTCTTATTTTCTAATGACTGGTATCTAACAGCCCTAAATATACTCTAGTAATTCTCAACTCTTTTTATTTTGCTTTTATAGAAGAAAATGCATTTCTCCATGTTATTTGTAAAGTTTACATATTCATCAACTTTCCTCCCACAGTACTTCTCACTCTGTAAGAAATGTGGCATTTATTTTAGAAGTTTTATTCCTGGCTGGCAACAATAATTGCCAGCAGGAAAACTAGTATTTTAAATTTTAGAAATGTAAGCACCTTAACAGTCATTTATAATGTTTTAAAAAATGACTTCGTTCAATGTGGTCACTGGTGAATAACAGTTTTGATTTTTTTCAATTGATTTTAGTTAATGATGGTTGACAGATATGTACCATAATATCAATCAATATATTATGAAATACTTTTAAGTTTATGCAAGTCTAATAGTAAGGGTAATGGATATAGGCCAAGTAAGCTCAGTCAGTAGAGCATCTGACCAGTGATGCAGGGGCCCCTTCTTAGATTCACGGTCCAGCCGTGCATTTTCTCCTTCCTTGTTACATATTTGATGCTAATGACCCCTCTGGATTTGCAAGTGAAAGTCCCGTCAGGGGCTAATAAGAATTTGGGTTGTGTCTGCAAGGATAAAGATAACTTTGAGGGATATGTAATTGTTATGCTATGGGTATCAACCTGGGTACAGTGTAGCTCATTCGGTAGAGCACCTGACTAGTGAAGCAGGGTTCCTGAGTTCAATTCCTGGTCCAACAATAGTTACCATACATTCTCTCCTTTCCTATTACACAAGTTTTAAATGTGCCTGAATTTTTACGTCAACATAATATATTATTCCTAATACTGTATACAGGGAAATTTTTGCCCCCGTTTATTTTTGACCCTTTCACTCTCTCCTTGATTGGGTGAATTCAAATTACACCTCATAATTTCCTAAACAGAACTATGACTGGGTGAATTTAAAACAGTGCAGAATTGTTCACAAGTTCAAAAGGGCGAAAATAACACGGGACGAAAATAACCCTGTATACAGTAATGAAAATTATATTTTATTTCCACTATGGGATTTCTTTGTATTCTTAGTAACTATTCATATTTTCATATTTAAAAATAAACATATATTTGGAGGACAAAATGTAATCTTTGTTGATGAGTAATTGTACAGGAATTTGCATTTTTGAAAAAAAAAGTTTTGACCATCATTAAAAAAAAATTCTCACAGTAAATCTTAGCCTTTTTTCTGTATTCATTCAGGCATATATGATTACCTCCTACATCAAATGTACCTATCTTACTGTTACATATCTAGAAGGGATGGAATGTAGAAGCTTCTTGGGCCTTATAAATTTGTAAACTAGAGGATATATTACATATTAATAGGTAAAAACATGTACAGTGTGTACTTTTGAGTTTGAGAAGTACAATTCCTACAGTAAAACTCGGTTATAACGAAGTCACTGGGACCTATGAAATTACTTCGCTATATCTATAAACCGTTATAACTGTATAAGAAATCAATTAAATTTATTTAGCTGGGTATCCAAATTGACTTCGCTACATCCGTAAATTCGCAATATCGTGTTCGTACTAAACGAGTTTTGCTGTATTACCCAGTCTTTATTGTAATTTATTGAACTGATGTACATGCAAGTCCATCGATTTACAAATTACTCATTCTAAAGACTCTGATCTCCTTCTTATATATGCCTACAAAAATGACAATTCATCTTAATTTTAAACTGTAGAGATACAATTTATTTAACCAGTGAATTTTTATAATTTTGTGTGTGCATGTATAAGTAAAAAATGGGACAGTCTCACTGTTTTTGATAAAATAAAGATAAAAAGTGGAGGAAATGTGCAATTTAATCCACATGCTTTATTGTGGCAAATGTCCCCATATGGGGAGAGTTGCGGACCGAAAACCCTTGGCTAGCGAAGATGGGGAGCGTTGCAGACCGAAAACCCTTGGCTAGCGAAGATGCAGTTTACACAAATGACAGTCATTTCAGGGAAAATCAGCACTTCAAAATTTTTTCATCACTTTTTACCATTTTCATGTATATGCACATGATCAAATGCATCAATGCATCTTTTCTGATAACTAGCTTACATTTGAAGACACTATATAGAAAAAAATTAAGTTTATTTTTAATTTTTAATTGTGCTAAAAATGTTACAATACAATGTATATCATATACTGTTATACAAAAATATTTGAAAGTTTTCCCAAATAGATGGAGTATATCAAGCAGCTTTAAACCAGAATTTTTAGGTGTAATTAGGGCCACTTAATTGACTCAATGATTGTCGATTATAAAATTCATATTGTGTATATTTCGAATACCATGTATCATGAATTAATTTTGCTTGATCACAAAAATATGTTGATGGGTATACTCTATATATCTCTTTTGGACTTACTTATTAATGCAATAACTCATTGGAAAACTTTCTACAATGTTCAAGGTTCTCCACGTTTATTACTTTTATTAGGTGGAACCTTTTTTATCTTTCAACATTTTTGAAATGGGTCTTTAGATTTAAAAAAAAATGTTTCCTTATTTATTTGTTTATTTATTGTTAAAAAACAAATGCTTTTAATTAACAAGATGCTTCAAATTATATTTTGCAAACCTTTATTTCAAAGCAAAGCTTGATTTACGTACCGGTATATGTAAACAACGTGCACAGCCACTGAGGAAAAGAAAAACGTCTGTGACTTGCCAGGTTCAATCTCGCGCAGTATTGTTTTCATTTAGACGATGTAATGTATATCTACATACAAAACACCAAATAAACAAATAATAACCACCGTATGTCCAAAATATAAAACTTTGCCGACCATATAAGCTCTCGATATGCTTCAGACTGAAGTTCAGTAGCATGTGCATGCTACTTTCGTTTTAACAGGAAGAACTTTGCAAGGTTAAGGTCAAGTCAAGTTAACCAGAGTTTTTCTGCTAAAATATCGAAAATTTCTTAGTAATTTGAAGTTTACTAGCACAAATTTATTAGAATTATTAATATTTAACTATTTTTTGGATTTATTTCTTTATTTTCCTTAATATTAGAGCAAGTTAGTAGATATTTATTACATGCGCGTTTTTTCCCTGTTTCCAAAAATAGCGTACACTGTACTGACTTTCATCGTAACAAACGCCAAAACCCTTCACTTTAAATCACAATTTCACAAATAATTCTCATATTTTCACATCTTAATTACCTATTTTTCAATGTGTTGTAGTTGTATAATACATTTTGAAAGATTCTGAATAATTCACAGCTCATTTATACGTTTTACACGACGTTTTATGTGACGAAGCGCTAATTTCAGACTCAGACCCAACATATTGGGTTCCCGCACGCAAGCCTTTGTGACTTCAAACCCAATATATTGGGTTCCCGCACACAAAGGGTTAAGATATAATTATATGTTATATTTCAGGAAACTTTCTGTGTGCCTTCCTGGGATTTTGTATCATTTTCTACAGTGTACTGAGTCTTTACACAGATCAGACTGATACAGGTAACATCCGTAAAAATGTTCTCCTTAATAGTTCAAATTAGTGACATTGAACCTTCTTGTCAAATATTTTGCTTGTGAACATCCCATTTTTGATTTCCATGAAATGTAAAGAATTCACACCTTATTTTGTCTCAGTCTCAGGTGACGATGGGAATCGATAAGAATTTCACAATCGATGATTGGGTTATTGTTACTAACTCATTATCAATTTTAACTGGACATTTAAAAAGCCAATCAATTTTTGAATGAGTACCTAGTAAGTGGTAATAATGGGTAAATGACTACTTTTTATGGTGGTCCAGCTGGTCCTTTGTTTATTTTGTAGAGCCTTCATATCCAGGAATGTGCTTTGTTACTGAGTATGAATACAGTTGCCTTGTCAAACGAAGCATTTGAAAATTAAATGTGTTATCCTCTGAAATCAGAGGATAAACTATCCCACAATGCAATGCGGTTTCCATGCATGTATATATGGTAAAAAATTTGGCTGCCATAATGAATCTTGCTATCCTCCAATACTGCCCAGACCTGATAAATTAGTAGCTAAGTGGTGGCTGGAAAAATTTGCTTGAAAACTATTATGATTGTAAAATAAAATAAAAAACAATTAATCAGAATTTTAAAAATGTATCCAGGTAATCCAATGCCTGGATTATGCCAACAATCAACTGATTTGCAATTATAATCAATGATTGGAACACCACTAGCCTCGGTCATTACTTTGTGTCTGTTTTCCAGTGGTGCTGGTGATGATGTTTATTCTGGGTGTGGTTTGTGCTGCCCTCTGGGTGGGGATGTATGAGTTTGTGGGGGTAGCTGCCCTCTCTGGACTGGTATAATTACTAGATGTATCTGTTTATTTTACAGTGGTGCTGGTGATGACGGTGATTCTAGGGGTGGTGTGTGCTAGCTGCCCTCTGGGTGGGATGTATGAGTTTGTGGGGGTACCTGCCCTCTCTGTACTGGTGTCATTACTATCTGTTTATTTTACAGTGGTGCTGGTCATGACGTTTATTCTGGGTGTGGTTTGTGCTGCCCTCTGGGTGGGGATGTACGAGTGTGTGGGGGTAGCTGCCCTCTCTGTACTGGTGTCATTACTATCTGTTTATTTTACAGTAGAGCTGGTCATGACGTTTATTCTGGGTGTGGTTTGTGCTGCCCTCTGGGTGGGGATGTACGAGTGTGTGGGGGTAGCTGCCCTCTCTGTACTGGTGTCATTACTATCTGTTTATTTTACAGTAGAGCTGGTCATGACGTTTATTCTGGGTGTGGTGTGTGCTGCCCTCTGGGTGGGGATGTACGAGTGTGTGGGGTAGCTGCCCTCTCTGTACTGGTGTCATTACTATCTGTTTATTTTCCAGTAGAGTTGGTCATGACGTTTATTCTGGGTGTGGTGTGTGCTGCCCTCTGGGTGGGGATGTACGAGTGTGTGGGGTAGCTGCCCTCTCTGTACTGGTGTCATTACTATCTGTTTATTTTCCAGTAGAGCTGGTCATGACGTTTATTCTGGGTGTGGTTTGTGCTGCCCTCTGGGTGGGGATGTACGAGTGTGTGGGGGTAGCTGCCCTCTCTGTACTGGTGTCATTACTATCTGTTTATTTTACAGTGGTGCTGGTCATGACGTTTATTCTGGGGGTGGTGTGTGCTGCCCTCTGGGTGGGGATGTATGAGTTTGTGGGGGTACCTGCCCTCTCGGTTCTACTGTCTGGACTAGTGGCAGGGTACATCATCTCCAGTGTCGTCTTCTACACACAGTTTGGTGAGAGTCAACTTCAGTAGAAGTAGTTAGGCCATAAAAAATTTATTTCTTGGTTCTCAGGCCCTCCCTCGTCTCTTCCAAGGGTGCCTCATTAACCCTTTTTATTGCTAAATCAATAAAAGAAAAATAAGAAATCACCTCCCTCATCATTTCATCAGGTTTTGTACAATGTAAAAATCTGCCTCATCAAGTTTTGGGGGCAATGAAAAAGTAAAAAAAAAAAAAGTCTCCCTCCCTCATCATATTTTTTGAAAAAAGGCCCGAAAACCAAGGAATTAACTTTGCATGGACTTACTTGTTTACCAGTCCTTTCACTGACTGTTTTTGAATTAATTCCCTTGAACTTTTGAAAAAAATTTAAAATTCAAAGTTTTTAATCATTATTTCATGTCTTACGAATATGCAATGTACAGTTTGAAATTTTGACTGCCTGTGGGGACATTTGTGGCATTATGACACATCTAATCTATTTTTGATGGTAAATTTTTTATGTAGTTGTATAGATCTAATTTATCTTCAATAGGTAACCTGTCGTACTGGGACAGCTCCTTTAATTACGGACTTGCCTTTGCCTGTGGAGTCCTGGTTATACCTGTGTTTATTCTGTCCTACACTAAAGTGGTAATGTATAAAGTTAAAACAATGATTTGGCATAAATATTGATAAAGTTAATAACTAATCACATTATACTCCTACCTTGAAAAGCAGGGAGGTATATACAATGCAGTGATGGGGTGTCCATCTGTCTGTCTGTCTAGCTGTATGTCCATCTGTTACACTTTGGGGGATCCATCTCTTATCTGCATCTCTTAAATGTCTAAATGAAAATTAATGAGATTTTCACAATATCTTGGATACTTGGTGCCATTGTGACCACTTATTTTACTTTTTGATCAGACACATATTTCGGGTGTCCCATAGCAAAAGGTGGACACTGCCATTCCTTCTATAATATTGAGGGTGTTCATCTCTTATCTGTGATCTCAACCAAGAAATATCTGAAGCAAGTAGTAATTGACATATTTGTAATATTAAATGAACATGACTTTTTTTTTTTCAGCTGAACATTGTATCGTGTGCATTCATTGGATCCTACCTAATTATTCTGGTCCCTGATATCTTCCTCTACACTGGAATGAAGTACATCATAGTCAATTCTATCAGACATTCCACCGATGTTGACTACATCAAAGTCGTTAACACTGGGCCCTTCCTCTTGCCAGGTATTCTCAATATCATTGTTTTGTTTTTATTTTTATGTCTATAAAAAAAAATTCTGCAGATTGCGTCTGGAGACATAATTTTTTTCATAAACTATTTTGAAAAAAGACCATTTATTTGTCATTATATATGCATATGAAGCATTATTGTGAAATGGTTTAGGTTCATTTGGTCTACTGAACGTTCCTGTTTCAGAGATAATCCTAGCCTGTGCCTGGTTTTTGGTGTGTGTCTTCGGAGCATTCGTACAGTTTTATCGTGACTGGGGCCAGCCAGATTTCCCCCAGAGTTCCAGAAGATGTGGCAGAAAATTACAACCAGGATATAACCGGATACCAGCCCGGTACAGCGTGGAGTCCGAGGGGGACTCGGACAGAGAACCGGACGAGCGGTCACCCCTCCTCAGACCGGCGAGGAATACCGGACATCACAGGGAGAGGGTGTTAGCGGCCCCCACATAGCAGTACCAGCTAAATGAAGTTAACGAACACTTAGGTGTACTGGACAAAGGGAGACAAATCCTCAACCATTCCTATTTCTGTCTCATGTACACTAGTTTGTTAATCTGCTATAGAAATGCATTCACATGTACCTAGTCAAACCATTCATGTAAATGTTAATAATATGGTCTGCTACATGCATTCATATTCATTAAAATCTTGCCAAAAATGAAAATAATAAAATTGTAATCATATAAGCTCATAGAATAGAGAAAAAGGAAACAATAGGGTTTCTTAAAAAAAAAAATGGACTCAACTTCAGCTCTAAGAGCCTTCAAAATACATTTTTTGTGAAATATCAAATATATTTCCAATACCCCCTGTATATGAGCATTATAAGCAATCAAATGTAGAGTTAACAATCATTCTGAAAGTATTGCATCAGCATTACTAATTCCCTACCAGCAAGTGTAAACTTAAATTGCTCAAGAATTAAAAATTAAAAGGGCCATAATTCCATAGAAACTGTTGAGGAGGAACGATGAAAACTTGATTCATAACTCTTCAGGGTACACTCACATTCCAAAAATCAGCTCAAAATCTGCAAGCATTGAAAAAAGCATGGAAAACCGAGTTGGAAAGACAGACAAACTGAAAGACTGACAGACGAGGAGGAAACCTATAGTCTCCTTCAGTTTCAGTATAGAGAGAATTAATTTACACGCAAAAGGGAGATGAGTCACTCTGAAAAAATATGTATGATAGGCAGTCTTGACCTGATTTTTTGTAGAAAAAGCTAAATGTATTTCTACTGTAGGGACTTCAGTTCCTTTGGTTTATTTCTGTGATATGTAAGTTTGCAATCAACCAATACTCAGTACAGTAGAAAGAATATTTAATATTTTTGTATTTACTTTTTATGTGATTGTAATTTAATGGAATTGGGGTGGGGGTGGGGTGGTTCCATGCACTATTAATAACATCACATTTTTCCATGTTACAATATATTTATATTTCATTATAACAGGGGCTGTAGTTAAAAATCATGTTATCCTATTTTCATGATAAATAAATTTATTGTTATATTTGTGCATTGTCTATTTCACATTACATTTTGATTTATAATTTTTTAATAAATCATGAATAATACATTTTTCTGCTTCTTTTTTTGAACTGAACATGCATGATTTTATGGAATTCCATGCAAGATTTCAATCCAGTTTTTTATTTAAGAAAATTTACTCAAAATAGTGAATCATTAATTTTACTTAATGGCTCAAGATAATTGTTTTAATATGTTAAATTTGAAAAGGTGTAGGACAAATCAAAATATAAAATGAAAATTAAAAATAAGAATTGTAATTTTTGTTCTTGGGTCATTAGTTTGTGACATAGAATACTAGTATTTCATGTAATTAAGGAGTGCTACAAGAATTTGTTTATTAGATTTTATGACATCTCTTGAGAAATTGTTTTCATAAGGGAAAGATTGATATAGGCTCTTAATTCAAATGAATGCCAGACTAACTCTTGATTTTTATTCACGAAACAGAATTAAAAAAAAAACGTTGATTATAAACACCAATGTGATTTTGTATCTCCCTGTGTG